CCCGCCCTGCGGGCGGCTCGCTTCCGCGCAGCGGCGGAGGCAGCAGCGGAGCGGGGACTGCAGCAGCGTGCCCGGCGGAGTATCTGGCCCGGGGCAGGGCTTGCTGCAGATTCGTTGGTCCCGAAGCGGCTCTGCGACCATCTTCAGCCTCGTCAAAGAAGCGTTTTCTGTGGTGGCAGAACACAGTTTCCCAGGAAACGCGCACCAACTCTGGGTGCTGTACCTAAAAGACCCGTAACAGTCGTTGACAGAGGGACGATTTAGAAGAAGGACTTGGTTTAGACAAAACTTTCAATGATACACCAAAATAAGCCGTGAAGTGTGCAGCAGTGTGTTTGGGTCAGGATGTGGGTGATGTACCTCATGGGTTGCTTACACATTGCATCTACCAGGTGTTGACAAAGGCCCACTCAGCTCAGCATGGATGTAAAACCGTGTGCAAAAATACTGATGTTTCATTCACTTAATATCTTCAAATAGATAGGCAGAAAAAAGTTAAGACGTTACACCTGGCCACGTGGTTGCAAAAATTCCTGATAATTTGTCAGTATATCCTTTCAACTTCATGCTTTTTATAACAAGGTGAGTTTCTTGTTTTATGACGTACCAAAACAACAGGTTATTTTCCTGATGGGAAGTGCGTTGATTATATTAACATGGTCTGGATTTGCATAGGTTACTGTGCTGCATAGAATTGGATGGAAGTGCCCCTAGCAGAGGCTGCTTTGAGGCTGCTTAATATATTTACCCCCAAACTAATTACAGGGTCTTCATCTAACCTGTTTATTGTTTTCTCTCCTTACCTAGAAGCGCACCTTGTGGAAACTAGAATTTCTGTTCAGTGAAAAATTGCAAGGCTTTACACACATTCAAGGAGATGTGCAGCAAAAATATTTAGAATTTTCAAACCAAATTATCTGAATGGATCAGAATGTTCTAGCTGACTGCATTCTGATTTTGCCTTAAAATACATAGATAAGCAAAGTAAGACTATTTGTAAGACAGAAAAATTAAAAATGTAAAACATAAATGTACAATTCTAACAACAATCAAATGGAGTATGTGGGTAAAAAATTCTTAATTCCTTTTCCCTTGAAGCAAAATTGACTCAAAATAGGATGTATCACTGGTTTCAACTAAACACCATTCTATGACAGAAAAAGATTGTAACAACAATGTTAAGTAATGCTACACACATATCCCTTTTTTCCACTCAAACTTTTGCTTTCCTCATGAACTACCTGCAAATTCACTGTGACATTTTGCCCAAGATCGCGGTTAACTTCTTCCAGAGCTTTAATGATAAAGAACATTCTAATGAAAACTTCTAGGTATGAAATAAAAAGTTGGTTGTTAAGCTTGGGGAGCAAGTTTCTGTGTAAATGAAAGCAGGGTCTGCAGGTCAGTTATGCTAATGGAATAGCTTAACAAGCAGTCTGTTTGCATTTGTTGCGTGTAGTGGTTTATTGACCATAACCATGGGATAACTACATTTTAACTCCAATAAAAGTAAACCAAGAACTGTCTGTTTTAAGATAATGTTATCAGTCAGGAATTAAACCAAACCAAGCTATGCCACGTGGACAGAGTCCACCCAGAGATCAGTGGGATCTAAAAAAATAAATTGTCCCCATTTCTCCCTTCTTTCAATTTTCTCTTGGCTGAACCTGATAAGACTGGAAAACATTGAATTGCTTGTTTACTTACATTAATCACAGGGTTGTTTTTCTTTTATACAAATGTGTATCTTTGGAGAAAGATGATGAGTGAACAGCTCTGAAGAAAGAAATACTCTGCCTTCAGAGGTACTCACATGGTTAGTTATTCCACACTCCTGTCATTCCTTCAGGTCATATATTGATTACTTTTTGTCTTCCTCCAGTATCTCTTCCATACTTTGAAAGATTAAAAAAGCCACAGGCCTGTAAAAAAACCACTGGAATAATCTCTTGGACTCTAAACATAATTTGTAAACGCTCAGGAGTAGCATTACTGGCACTGATGGGAGATAATCAAACATCAGCCACATCTCATGGAACCAGCTACAGAAAATCATTTACCATGGAGCTCTCCTTCCAGTGAACATTTGGAAGGTTATTAATGGTCCCTGTTGAGATCATTGTTGTATCCCCCTCTTTGGTAACTAAAAGGTAATATCCAGATGGTGAATTAAGGACAGGGAAAGTGGGTAGTGGCTACCTGACACAAGCTGCTGGAAAGCTGCAGAGCTAGGGGTTGGTGGAATAGTCTTGATCAAAAAACTCCACAAGGTAAGAACTAAAGTTCCAGATATGATGGAGATGTGTAGATGATAGGGAATTATCACCACTGGAAGCTGCTGACTGTATTATGTAAGGAGCTCAAATTACTGGTTATGCCAGTTCACTTAAGCAATCAAAATCACTGAAAGATAGGGGGGTCCTTACAGTCCTTTTCTGTTGACCCTAGTCATTAATCCCTGGTATGACCAAAGAACACACACAGTCTGAAAGTATCAGGCTCCTGGAATGGAAAGGAGACCACACCAGTGGATTTCTGGTGATCAGAGTAAGGTTAAACTTGTAAATGAGACAGTGAGAATATCAGGAAGGTTTCTACATACTGGTGACATAAAACATAGGACTGCAGCTGTCTCAACAGTTTTGCTGCTGCAAGTCCCAATATTGGGGCGGGGGGGAGGGCAGGGGGAAACAACCCCACTCTTACTCTCAGAAAGTAAGAAAGGTGAGAAATTTGCGTATTTTTTTGGCACATATTTTGGAAAGCTGAATATTTCTGACTAGAAGATGTTCTGCATTTTTACATTCAGAATGCTCGTGCTTGCTTTCCCCTTGTATTCCAAGTGATGCCAATTAATTAATTTTGTAAGAAAACTTACTATCCCAGAGGAATTTAAACTGCAACACTTTGCTAGGTCATATAGCTTGGTTTTTAAAATCTAGATCTCACATTATAAGACTAGAGAAATATATAAGACATTTATTTGCACCTATCCTACACAATGGAAAAATATATCAGAAATCTCACAAGAGATTCAAGAGAAGAGAGGGCCATCAGCACTATGGTAAGCAAATGGTTTAAAAAACTTACTGAGGTGGAAAAAAAGGAACATAATTTTCTCCTTAAAAATACCTTAATGGGCAAGCAGAGGAACAATTATATCTGTTGGTCAGATAAGCCAGTGTAAGGTTTGCTATCTCCAAGGTCCTGAATATATGTATCATAGCCTTATGTTTTGGTACTCTTCAAAAACCGGCATGTTC